GGTAGTTAGGTCCCCTCATTCTTATCACTTCTGTCTTATATCTCTTGTACAAGGAAGGATGGTGATGGGTAAATGTGGTGACTTGAGTCACACCCAGTAAGGCAGTGACTCAAGATACATCCCACTTTAGTTTACTTCATTAACATAATAGATAAATCACTCCCAAATAGGACCATAACATAGGCATAGAGGCTAGGATTTACAACACATCACAAAATGGAAGGTAATTACATCAGACCACAAAATGAGGCTGACTATATAATTACATAACTGCCAAACCACTGAAAATCAAACCCAGCTAAGTTGACACATAATCTTAGTCACCACAGGTTCCAGACACCTTATTTGCATTAGTAGCAAGCTGTCTGTTCCCCTTGGTGGTCCACGAGCATCTTATTTGCCTAAACCAAAAAAAGAAGAAAACCAAAATCACTGCAATTGAGTCACTTCAACTCATAGTGACCCCTCCTTGGGTTTCTGAAGCAACATCTCTACAGAAGTGGATGGCCCACTCTTCCTTCCGAGCAGTGGCTGGTCTGTTTGAACTGCCAGCCTTCTGGCTAGCAGTCAGATGCCTTATGCTCTGTGCTACCAGAGCTCATTGTGTGGGACTATGCAAATAAGGGCCATATTAAGTAAAGCACAACACTGCCTTTACCTAGAAGTGATGTTGTAACTAACCAAAAGGAACCTATTATTTACTCTACTTTTCAGCTCTTCCTTCTAATAAACTTTATCTATTCATATTGATTCTAATTATAGTTCAGGGCATACCCATGTGTATTATTTATTTGAGTGAGTTTGTCTGGCAACAAGGGACTGTTGTTGCCTGAGCTTTACTGTTATCTGGCATGAATGCATTCTGTCTGTGCTGCACTGCCAATTTCAGGAGGGGTAGGAAAGGGGGGAGCGTAGGGCAGGAATGCTCTACTCTAGTCCTTGCACCACTGTTTCTCATTATATCTCAGCACCTTGCAGTAAGCTTGACCAACATTGATTTTGTTTTGTTGTTCAACTTCATCTTTTTTTACATGGGAGAAGTCATACACTAGAGATAAAATAGAATTCTTCTTCATTCCTCATCTACAGATCTGTTTCATCCTGTCTTCCCACACTACATCTCTTCTGCTCCTCATACAGCCTATCATGAATCTAGGCATCTGTCTTTAGAGACGTTTACATTGATATGCATCTGTAGACAATACAAAGTATTGTTTATGTGCTGCCATGAGCATTCTTATACATATCTCTTGGTGCACATGCACAAGAATTTCTCTGGGGTATGTACCTAGGAGTGCAAGTGCGTACTAAGAGTACAGTGGAAGGGTAGAAATATATTAAACCCACATGCTTACCCAAAATGATTGTTACAGTGTATACTCTTACCAGCAGCATGTATAGGAGTTCTGATCTTTCCACATTATGATCAACACAGTTAGTTTCATCAGGCTTTTATTTCTGCCTGTAGATTTTGTAAAGTAATAATTGAAT